GATGTATGTGTTGAAATGTGGGTAGTATACGTGAGGAGCATGAGGTACTCCCATGGTTGGAGGTGGATTAGAGAACACCATTGCTAACATGCACATCTCACTGGCAATTCCATCTCCAATGGATGTTAAACACTCAGTCATTTTTGAAATGGACTCCTCCAAAGTCTTGTTGGATTGTTCAAAGGACTTCATCATTTCTTTCTTCATAATGAGATCTTTGGCTGTATTTATTAGCAGCTATTCTCTTTGTGCTTGAGAAATAGTTTTCTCCATGTGCCTTCTCTTATTGTCAACCAACTTGGGGATGCTCGAGAGTGTGACACCTTCCTTACAATTTTTCTGACCTGGAGATGGTATAGAGGTTTCTGCAAACTGGCTTCCACTTGAGGAACTAGGTCACTCTTGAGTTGATGTATCTAAAATGTGTAATAATTGAATCATTTGAGGCAGTCAGATTAGAGAATGTTAGAATGGCCCCTTAGAATTATTTGTTTTGAAATTATCATTTTTAACAAACGAGGTCTAACTAGTTAACTGTGGCAGGGTGAGAGGGGAATACTGATGAAGCTTATGAGGTGAGCACATTTCTGTTCTAGAAATAAAAATCAAACAAAAATTAAAACAAAATACAAATACAAAAATAAATACAAGGATAAAACGTATCATCTTGCTATAAGGTCAATGTGTCCTAAACACGCTAGGCTTGTTTGGCATACAGCCTGTGGCAAGAGTAGATATAGATACTGTTTATGCATTTATTAACGTTTTTTCCTTTCCAGCAGTTTTCAGGAGCCCTTGTTCAAAACAGGTCTTTATAAAAGAGGATGAGCATTCTAGCGTTTGCATTTTTGAAATCTGCTCGGTGTGTGCCCTAAAATGATTTACAAGCCGATTGACATCATGGTAACCAGTCAACTCGCCGACGGACCAACTCGCCGACGCCAACTCGCCGACGCCAACTCGCCGACGTATAAAATCGAGTAGAGACGTAGGCGAGTTGGTTGTCAATCCAATACAACTTATTAGAAGTTAAACATACAGAAAAGTAAACGATAATTAGTAAAAAACACTGGTGAACATTGGTGAACATCAAACAGAAGCTTAAACATCGGTGAACATTTTACTTTACGGTGTTGTTGTAACACAATAATATCTCGTTCGCGTCTGAAGCTGTTAGAGTCGTTGGTGAGGTTTAATTCGCTTTATTCGCCTTAAGATCCTTGTCACGCAATAAGACGCGAACGAGTT